AGGCATCAGGGGTGTTTTAACGAGGTGTGAGATGTCGTGTAGACATATCTACGAGCACTACGTGATGACACAGCCAAGGGGTCAGGGGGGTTAAAGCGACATCTTTAATCTTCCGGTAAAGAACCCGACCCGACAGGACAAGTTTATCGACTGTACTGGCAGAGTGGATATAAGTGCATCTTCATAATGCAGCAATGTTTACCTTTATTTTTCATATTAACATAATCCAAGAGAACGCCATCCCTCCATTAAGCATTTCTCTAATTAGCAATGATTTATTTTACTTCTATATTTCAGCGCACATATGTTTGATCAACCTGAGATTCGAGATATAATTACTGAGTAGAGAGGAACATAAAAAAATCATTTGCAACAAAAAAACATGTCACTGAGTGATAAATAAAATTTTGTAATTCAGTATTTTCTTTTAGGCTCTAATTCGGCTCGTTTACCGACCAAAAAAAAGTGCGTAAATTTTTTCGTAGCAAATTCACTTAACATGAAATTCACATAGTTGTACGAGGCATGAAAAGCTGGGATGATGTTTCCCTCCTCTAGTCCATCATTTCTATGTCAAAATATTTACGATACAGTAGAAAGATATGTATATATGACACGAAATTATGCGTTTTTGTATCATAACTAGTATCATCAGTTAAAGAGATACAGTATGATAGCCTGCTTTGTAGAGTATTCACTCTAACCAATACTTCCTATTACGTATACACGAGAACACCATGTCGATTTTACTGTGGTGCGAGGGCGAAAGTTTAATTTAATGATCTATACAAACAGAATATTGTTTCAAGGAAAATCTAGGAGCAAATTATGCGAATACAGTCGATGAAGTCATTATAACAACTATGTACGTAGCGGTCACTAAGTTAACGCAGAGACTATAAGGAACTATTAATTATGGAAAGTTACTATCATCATTTTGTTAATGATGATTTATGATTCAAATGACAGTGGGAATGTAAGACATAAAGAAAGACATATCTATTACAAGAAATGACTGCTTCCCGTGACAGCACTGATCAAACTCCTCTCTGTCATTTAATTTGTAGATGGTCTCTATACAGCTAAATAATGGTTGGGCAAGTGATGTGGTTAGAGTCGCACTCTCTTCAGAGATAGAATCACATTAACCCGAGGATTAAAATCTGTGAAAGAAAGACTGGAGGACGCACGATGCGCTTCACTAAAGAGTCACGCTAATTATCAAGCAGATACGACCCCCTACAGGGAGAGAGAAAAAAGAGAGAGAGAGAGATGATGTTGACATAATTCATTCTAATATTAACTGTTTATTGATGTAGGCTTCCTGATTCAAAATTGACTTTGACCCCAATCCATAGTCACCATCGGTCTACGTGGATCGACCCAACTTTGTGGGGACTCTTGCTAAGTGCAATCAGCTTAACTAACACGCCTCCTCTTATTTCCAATAAACTCGTATAGTCATATGGGAATTTGGTCTTTGAGGTGTTCTAGGTTTTTTCCTGCCACTGCTGAAGATGTTCAGACAGCTTTGTCCATTGTTGCACTGCTGATTCACTAGACCGTCGCAAAGATAAGAACAGACGGCGATTCGAAGACCTGAAGATGAGACTACATGCGAATCGAAGATATTCTTTTGAATTGTATATGTCTGTTTCATTGTGTTTCCCTATTAAATATATTATTAAAATCCTCATTTTCGCACAAATTGCGCCCTCTCTTGGTAAATTTTGCTGCGACGCATATTAAATCGAGTGCTTTTTTGTACAATCTTTCTTTTTTCTTTATGCCCAAACCTAATGCCAAACTCCAAATTGATTTCATGCAGTTTCTCAGCAAATTTGGGATTCTTTATATTATCAAAAGTGAATTGTTATCAAGTATTACATTGAACCTTTTTAGGAGAAAACGCATGGTTTTACACATTTGAACGCGCTTACACACACACACACACACACACAGAGAGAGAGAGAGAGAGAGAGAGAGAGAGAGAGAGAGAGAGAGAGGTTGATTCATGATTAATCTTTTTTCTGTTTATTCAAAAAGATAACACGAATACTAGCTGTTCCTAGCTGTTCCTAAAATGGTCACACTATCATTGATGAATAAAAATTCACTATTGATTACGTGGATTTCCATATAGTTTTTGGTATATTAAGGACAAATGTGAAAATTGGTGTATCGTATCGATCTTGTCCATGGACACACACACACATACACACACACACACACACACACACACAGCATTTTACAAGAAGTTCGTTGTTCAAAGAATCCTTTTTTATAATTGCAAGGTGAATTGTTTTTTTTTTTTCACTTAGGTAAGGATCCTGCACGCCCAGATCATCCTAGAGTGAAGGGCAAAACACACTTTTAAAAACGGTATACAAAGGAAACAGTGAGGATGAGGAATGTATAATTACGAGCATACGATTAAGAGCAGGATCACAGTCATACTGATGAATATATTTCCGTAAAATTGCCAATACATTTGACGCATGCAAATCGCTCCTATGCCTATTTATTCTACAAAATTATACTGTTAAAAAGTAGTCTCAGGAGTCTCTATCATGAAATTGTATTTACACTAATGCTGACGTTTCGAATAAATGGGGAATGAAACGAAAAACACTGAGATCCAAACGAGTTCGTTTAAAATATACAGCCAAAGGAAGGATATCCAGGAAGTTCTGATAACAACTCGATATCTAAGAAATGATCTAATTGACACTAATGGAATTTGGTACACAACCGACGATGAATTAAAAAGAAATTAAATCAAAACGTTCGGTGCCGCCCTAGGAAATAATGATTATAACAATAAGTCGTTTGTAAAGATTGTCAAATACAATGATGTGATTATCAATACAAACGACAATAGAAACGTAAGACATTAATCTATATCTTTGTGAAATTGTTTCCTGCCGTGACAGAAATGCTGATCAACTTCACAGCGAGCAGTTTGCAATTATACATACATTTAAAAGGATACTGCAGGTAACTTTTGCGAATATATAACTGATACAAGAACACGATCTAAGGTCAAATCCATTTCAGAGGAGCGCATTCCTCGAAGACAACCAATTATTTACCGACAAATGTGGAAGGCAATTTACAGGTGTAAGGGCGCATTTCTATAGATTTTAGATCGATCTATCCCCGTGGGGAGTCTCACTAGATTACAGTCAGATAATCCGGCTTAAATTTCCGTCCCGCCTACTACAAGCTGTCAGGGGTAATTAACTTTCGTACCCGCTCGGCTGACAGCTATTTAGCGTGAACCCCCAGGGAGTTAGGTCGATCTAGTTGGATCGATCTCATCTCTGGGAATGGGGTCTAAGACAGACTGATCATTGGTGGATGAAGGATATTAAGGAGATAGATGGATTATATATATAAGTATCCTGTCCTTGCAGGACGTTGACTGTCAGGGACCTCCACAACTCCCTCTCTTCAGATGATCTCAGAATTGTTATGCTCAGCTGGTTACACTGGACACACCCAGCCTTAAACCTTAAAAAAGTCTTTCTGTCCTCTAAAAACACAAAATGTTAAATGATTCATTAACAATATAAATACTATAAATTAACGACAATAAGGCCGTGGTCTTCGTCTGCTTCTCTTTCTATTGGTTTTCCCCTGTAATGCAGTCGATCTTAGCTCTGCCTTTTCACTAAGCCAACACACCGCACAGTTAATTCTGACATTAATTTTTATAACTTTGTTCTAACTCTGTCAGCCTAACTGGATATGGGGCATATCTAAACGCTGTTTTTATTTGAAAAGTTGCGATGAATAACAAAAAAATATGTTGAAAAATGACTCTGAACACATTTCTTCTCTTTAGAAAGACAAAGAGAGCTATGGCAGTTGAGAGAACAAGAGATAAACAGAGAAAAAAAAAAAAAAAACATATCATTTCCGACGTCCGCTATGTTTAAGAAACTCAAAAGGGTATATTTACAGATAGATGCCCATTGTGTTAGTAGACTTTTCTTGTTGTGCAAGTTGAATTGCTTTCCTCTCAAGAATATCTAACACATTCTCACGCTCTTTAAGGGTCAAATTATTACACTAAGTTTCATTTGACAAGTATGAATTCTTCATGGGGATAATAGAATAAGGTCTGTGGCATATTGTGAAAGAGATGCATGAAAGTTGTGTCATAATGCGCTGTGAAATTTTCACGATTATTAGTAGCTTTTTGGTGTTCCAGCCTGTACCATTTTAACAGCCCAAAAAGATTTTGATTGAATATCATGTAAGGAATGATATAATTTTTCTTTACAAACCCAAATCGAACGTTCTGAAATTCAGATTATTTCAAGTTTACCCTTATAGTTCCAGTTGTTTGGCGAATTCATTATGATATATTGTGACACGTTTTAGACCCCACTAGCACGGCTAGATTATCATTATTCAGCAATATTTAATATTTTCAACTCGCTGATTTTACTAGATGGGGACGGTTAGATTCCTGTAAGAAAATACACGATTTAAATAATGTCCACGAGGCATACCATGCATTTTTAATTAAAAATAATTAAAGAAACAGAATGACAATATAAAAGCAGAACAGCATGTTAGACATCCAATTTATTAAAACTGGATTGCAACTAAGCTACAAAGCAATCATTAACTTTCATTTCATTATAAACAGTCCCGGAAGGTCTTCCTGTGAGCTATCCAAGCCTCTTTCTATAAATCATAAACCAAAATCATAAATTACAACATCCCTTCTCAGGTCGAATAGGCAGAGATCTTCACGAACATTTCTGCACTGCTTCAATATTCATATGGCACACGCTTTGTCGTTTGTTTAACAATTATCCAGAATTCATGGCTGAAGGCACTGTCATAAACATCACCAGCAGATCATACACAAACGTCCTGCATGCAATAGGGCAAGGTAAATGTGAAGTGAGAGTTGACACCAGACAAGCTTCTTCCTTTGTTGGGATGGGATTCAGAAGAGAATTGTGCCAAACTCGACTGACGGGATGACCTCTGTCAGTAGACAGTGGCTGGCCTCTTTGGGTTGCGTCCTATGACATCTTACGGAGGTTTATACGCTAGTGCACTTCGGTATCTGCCAGTTTATTATCTAATTTTTAATGCAGAGCGACGATAGACGCGGTTTCCTGAACGGCATCTTATCCCTGAAGGGAAAGAGTAGATCATGCCATTAACGAAGTCTTGAATACTGGGCAGATTATCAATTTGACACCGCTACCGTCCTGTGTTTGGGAAAAAGGTGCCTGCCAGACAGGGGACTCTTACTTGTTTCCTCATCCGCATTGAATACTCTGCTGTGGTATAGGGAAACAGTAGGACGTATACCATGCGCTCTTCAACCGTCTTCTACTGGATGACTATTTGGGCTATCTGTATCGGTGGCAAACAAGGAGTATTGGCGAAAAAGACAGTACAAAGCACAATCAGGGCATGTAAAAGAAACGGCACATTCTGCGACCCGAGAGACTCGGGGAAATATTACGTCTGCCTAGAGGGACATACTAGGGCAACCGTCCTGACCTGTCCCCCGGGATTATATTGTAAAAAAGGCACTTTCACTGGGACCATCATTTGCGATCACGGCGCAGTACATTATGAACCGGTGAGAAAGAAATCAGTGGTTGGAAGGAACGTCAAAAGACCTGTTGCGGAGGCTTTGGCGCCGGCAAGAACTTCCATAATTGATGGTAATTGCTTCTAGTTATTCTCAACGAAGTGCGATACGAAAATCGCCCAAATGATTAAATATAAATAATTACATTTTTTATCTGTCGCTATCACAATTAGATAAACCAAGACTGTTATATATAAGAACAAACGGGTAACTAATTCCTTTTTTTAATATCAAGGATATATTTAAGTAGTACTTAATGTAATCGCCAGACCTGTTGGACATCCGGCGAAACTACAAAATGCTGTATGCCTCACAGTGAAAGAAGTAGTAATGCGACTATAGCGATTATACATACATTTCATATTGTCTGGTACTTAAATTTGGATCACAGTATTATTCGTCATTATGTTTCTAGTTTTTTGTTTTCAGATGTACTCAAAGCCCTCCATTCCCTGGCCAAATCTTCCTACTCTTATGTCGCCACGATGGTCCATAATCATATGTCCCATCCCAAAACCAGCAAACCAGATTCAAACTACGGACCCAAGCCGTCAAAGAAGTACAAAGTAGATGTCATATGTACGTATGTTAATGCTTGAAACTCTTCAGTCTATTTTGTTTTTATTAGCAATAGGCTAACGTTTTTTAAGAACCTTCCACAATTTTTTTATTATTTTTATCTTTGACTTCTCCATTGTTGTTTGAATATAAGTAGGTCTATACATGAAATACCTATACTCTGGGATGGGTACCAGAATTTCGTGTAATAAATAGTTTTGTGTTAATTTTGTAGATAGAAAACTGGATTAATCAAATTTTAACTTACTTTCTGATGAATATTTTGATGAATTATCTAGGTTGCAAAGTAAACGGCGCCCTAGGCCGCACATCAACTATCTGCAATGCTCAGAGATTTGGCAACGCAAATGTTACCATGAAAGAACTAGGGTTTTACTTGCTAAACAAAATCTGTATATTATCAGTCGAAAGTATACCGGTTTGACTAGTTCGTTAAGCTTTATTTCATCTTTAAAATACCAATGCGTTTTTTTTTACATTTTAGCGTACCCTGATGTGAAATCCAAATGTAACGCTGACAAATGCAAACTTCCATCCTGCCTGTGTCCCTCTACAGCAGTTCCCAACAAACTCCAAGCCAAGGAGTTGCCGCAGATCGTCTACTTCACTTTCGATGATGGCGTGAACACAATAAACCACGCTTTTTACGAACGTCTTTTCCCAGAAAATCGCAGGAACCCCAATGGTTGCCCCATTAAGGCAACTTTCTTCGTGTCTCACGATACGACAGATTATGACCTTGTCAACTCCATGTACTTGCGTGGCCACGAAATAGCAAGCCACAGTGTAACGCATCGTACCCCAACGACCTGGTGGAAAGATGCATCTTACGAGGACTTGAAAGAAGAGATTTCAGGGCAAAGAGACAACATCCATACTGAAGCTCACATACCCATAAGTGCAGTACGAGGAGTCCGAGTGCCGTTTTTACAACAAGCCGGAGATATATTCTTCAGAATGATGAAAGATCAGAACTTTCTATTCGACTCTTCACTCGTTCCCTCTCGTCCTCACAGCCCCAACGACCACTATCTCCCCACCTGGCCTTTCACCATGGATTCCCCGATTTCTTCGACCCTTTTTACCTGCACTGAAGGTATGAACTGCCCCACGGGTAACTTCTCCGGTGTCTGGGAACTCCCCATGAATAGGATGTTCGGGCCGCATGGGTTTCCATGCGCTATGGTGGACGGGTGCCCCTCCCCTAATAACGTTGAGGAGTCTTACGATTACCTCATGTCCAACTTTAAGAGGCATTATAACGGAAACAGGGCTCCGATGGGGTTAAACATGCACGCTGCCTGGTTCGTCAACAGGCCTCACAATCTGGATGCCATGGATAAATTCATCGGAGATTTAGTTAAAAAAGACGACGTCTGGATTCTTACAGCTTCTGAACTTATTAAATGGGTGAAAAACATAACCCCTCAATCCCAAATGAGGTCTTTTAATTTCAATTGTTAGCATATGGAGTTGAATGCAAAAATATTATAAGCAAGCCTCGTGTTAAACGCGTTAAGATAAACCGTTGTTTTAATGTATATACATTTATTGACCAAGATAAACTCCTTTGAACATAAAATATATGACATTCTAATACAGCATATTACTCCTTCACCGTCTTACATCAAACCGGCAATTAGCAATTCAGATACACTTGCTCCAGGTAAACTGAGAGCAGAGAAGGCAGGTAGTATACATGCTTGTAGTAGACTTATCTAAAATAAAATTATACTGGTTAGGTTCATGGTAAAATATTAGGGTCTTTGGGATAATCAGATAAGATTTAATGAAAACACTGTACATAGGATAATAAACATCTTCACTTCCCTAATCGATTGTGCTTCTTTTTGAATGAATATACTAAAAATGTTTCCACGTTATCCATCTTCTACAATCATCCTTTTAACATAAAAGGATATACATGCAAAAAGGGACAAAAATGCTTATCTCCCATTTTATGAAAACATGAAGTGAACCACAAAAAGAGATAAAAGGATTAATTAAATTACATTTAGTAAGTGTTTTTTTCCAAATATCTATTAAAATCCACATTCATTAATGTCTGTTGGTATTCACAGCTACAATGCCATAAAAGTGAGCCCTGAGTTTAAGTCTCATGATAGGTTTTTCTTTTTTTTATACTCCAAAAGTTCTCTTGTATCTTCATAAGAGCAAAATAAACTGATGTAAGGCAGAAAATCCAGGGTAGTATAACACACGTGAGTCTGATTTCCTTTGCACTTTAACATCTCTTATTGGCTCAATACCAAGACACAAAGGTGTGGTGAGGATGAGGTCTACTTAAAATGCATGAGCAGGACAGTTAATGACATCAATGTAGTAATGTATACATAACAGTGTCTGATTAAAGGTTCTCCACTTTTTGTGCAAATATGGCTAACTGCTTCTGAACCTCTTGGACCAGTTCTTTTTCTGATGCTTTTGGATGCTTCTTTACGTAATCTGCTATGGCCATTATTGTCTGGTTCTGCAAAAACAGATAAAGATATTTTATTATTTATTTTGCATTTTTATTATTCTTGTTTTTGGGGGGTAAATAACATGAAAACTGCTTTTGTTTAAGCTGTACATGTTGGTTGGTACAAAGTTTCAAGTCTGCGTATAGATCTTTAAACCAATATTTTCTTATTGTTGCAAACAAGTCTTGGGCCCCATTCAGAATAGGGGACTAACTAGTCCGATGGTCAATTATGGCGACCCACTATGAAGCTTGCCGCCTAATCTGCTAATAGACACTGAATAGATACCCCGTGGGGAAGTATTAAAGTGGGTTAGCCATATTTAACCCTCAGACTAGTTAGTCCTTATTCTGGATGGGGGCCTTGGTCATAATAACTATTAAGTTAACATGACCATGGAAAAAACTGACGGAAACATAATGTGCCATTTGTCCTGAAGTAACAGGACATATGTTGCGTAACTTGGCAGACTTTGACACTTCTTGGTCCAGCTATTTGTCTAGACACAGAAACATCACAATGCTGGAACTGATTCATAATATGCTCATGATATACTCATTGCACAGAGGTTAGCTGTGTCCATAGCTGACCCTACAGGCCACATGACCAGGGGGCAGGCAAGACAAGCATGGACTAAATTACCCTACTGAACCTTACTATAAAACACATCTGATAAGGTCATTCTTCTCGGTTGTAGTACATACTATAGCCATAAATTATTTCAGATCTTTCACTTTGTCTGATTAAAAAACATTACCACAACCTTGTATTACTAGATATACTTGTCCACTTGACATCTATGTATAAAACTAACCCTGTAGGCATCTAACTCTCTGGCCCCGCTGACTCTCTGGTACAGCTCATATCCTATCCTGCCTGCAGTAATGGCCTCATACAGTTTACTGTTACCCGAGGGGTTCTTTTGCAAGTGGCTTAAAAATGCTATCTGAAAAATGAAAAAGGACATAACCTTTCAAGAACAAAGTATCCGATCATATTTATGAAAATTAAAATATTGTTAATCTGAATGAATCCCAATTGTAATTTCAAGGAGCTCACTGCCATGGGACCTAGCATGGAAAACTTTCATTTAGTTGTTTATGTATGTAGTTACATGTGCTACACAAAAATGTAATAAAAATATGAAATAAAAGTGCTATCAAATTATTTTTCTTTCTGTGTTGGGACCTTCAGTGTAGATTCATTCTGCTACGGCAACACTTATTAAAACATTTTAGATGCATTACATTTGAAGTTTTGGGATTTAATACTCTGAGTTTCAATCAAACAAAATTAAATTTCTACCAAGATTGAGCATAAAGAACGTGGCTAGGAAAAAAATATGTCTACATCGTACTGGGCACAAAAGAACATTGTTGTTTAGCAGAGTAACACCGTTATCATCTACATTCATATAAATATTCTGAGAATATAGATTCTTCAAGTTTTATTTAAAGTGAAATAATATACATTTCGTCAAAATATATGATGAACGAAACCTAAAAATTTATTTTATTTCCTGAAAACGCAGGAGTGACAGGTTGCGCAATATTGATGTTTCCATGACTGACAACCTTGCATGAGAACTTATGGGCCTGATATTTAGTCACAGAATAGATCAAACACCAGAGTTTCAACAGATGTAGTTAATGTTTCTAAAACAACAACATACCTGCTGAATAAGATCTCCATTCTCTAGTCTCCATTCGGAGTCGTTTAACAAACCAGCCATTTTTGTTTACAGGTGGCAGTAAGGTTTACCCAATCGATAGTATCAAGAAAAGCAAGATCCAAGGTTTTTAAAATTATTTACGAGTAATTTTGTTTAAACATGATGATTTTGTAATGAATGATTGCAAAATGTTATATTATGGAGTAATTTAGTAATTTGTTGACTAATACCAAGAAATTTAATTATCAAATTACGATTGGAAGAACTAACTGGCAGGTAGAGTCACCTAGCGGTCAGGGTAGATCTAACCACAGACAAATCTATGATCGATATGAGTAGCACGGGCTAGGGCGGTTTTTGCGGAATCAAAGTCACGTACATTGTTCCACTCCATTAAAGCCAGCAATATGACTTGGAAACTTAATTTCAAAAGGGGAAAATGCATGTGTTGTCTTTCCTAATTAGTCAATAAATCCTCTTACTGTACCAGTAATAGTGGCAAAGAGTGAACGAATTCGCACATTTAGTTTGTAAAATTAAGACACCTGTGACCAACGAAATTGATATAGAAAATATTTTCAACTAACATGGTTACCTTATTTTTAACAATATCAGACAAGATTTCTTTGAAAATGCATGCTTTTTATTGTCATGTATTGTACATGCCCATATATACCGACGCTTAAAGGCAGTTGCACACTACTGCATGGATTTCTCCCTGCAAGATTTCTTTTGAAGTTCTTATGAATCTTTTACCCACTATTATTTTTTTGAACTTGTAAAAATCAGCATTGGACTTTTTTACCATCTTGTTAAATAAATTTCAATGAGATGTTGGAAGTTAACAATTAGTTTAAAATGACATATATTTAATTTTTATTTTACATAATGTGACACTGCAAAGTGCTATTACAATATCATCTTCAGGCACATACTACAATAAGTGAAACCATATCTTTTTGTTTTTACAAATGTCAAACAAACTAAACTAAAACCTACGCATAAGTATAAAATTATTAATGTGTATTATCATACTGAATATCTATACAGGAAGACATTAAAAAGCACCAGCATTATGATGTTTAAATCAATTAAAATATTTTCACAGCAACCAGTTTATGATAAGGATAACATTGTAAAATTCATAGAAAATCTTCCCCTTAAATGGCATTAAAAGATCTGAAAAGGGTGTTCTTAGCCTGGAAGCAATAATTTTGAGCAAGCACTTGCAAATAGTTAAGGCATTGCATTGGCCATTAATAACCAAGGCTCCTAATCAACTAAACAGACAAATGTCATAAAAAATAGATATTAGTCAACAAACTCACGATGATTACATGTAGCAATGTCATTTCATCATTATCATATGCAGACAACATACAGAATCCTTATGACTGAAGTTTGACAATATTTGTTACAGTTTACAAAGAGATTTAAAATGTTCCATTAATAAATGAAATAAAACTTATTCTACCTCCTGCAATGTCATATTGTGAGTATTCTTTATATAAAAGAAGTAAAAGTTGAACATCAATTGCCTCTGAAATATCTAACCATCTAATTTTTGGGTGAATAACTAAAATATTTAGTTCCATAAAATTCATATTTTTAGCTGCCAGTCATTCTTATGTTTCTATATAATTATGCATTGCAAAGTGATTTCAAACATTTTATTGTCTGCCTAAAATCAATTATAAACACATTGCACTTGAGAAAATCACAAGGACAATTAAAATTAAAGCAGTCTCTTTCTTATACCATCAATGCAACATTTCCTTCATATGGTTCTTTTAATTTTCATGGTAACAAGGGCTGTTTCTTCTAAGAAGGATCGTAGAGCTGCAATACTTGTGGGCTGTCTGGTGACGATTTCATCCATTGGTGCACTATGTGTGCTCTTGACATCCATCTAAAAAGATAAATATTTAAATAATTACAGTAAATATAAGACCATTTTAAGAAATGTGCAATGTTACTCTACCAGCCAAAGGTCACTAAGGGACATTCTTTGTCTTTATTTGACTCTTCACCAAAATATATTCCTTGTTTTTATTTTCATACTATCTACTATTTACATTCTAAGAAATCTGAATAAAAACCTTGCATTGGATATGATGAACTGAGGCAACTAGTCACAAAACTGTTGTTTATGTGGTTGTAGCTTTTTGAGCAATATAAAAAACACCAGTTTGTAGTTGTATCTGATTCTACCACTTGATTTTAAGAATCACGTAATTTTAGAGACATAATTTACTTAAATATTCACTAGATTACTGTGACTCAAAGGCAGAGGCAGTACTGATAACTTAAAATGCTACCAACTTCTTAGGAGGTTTTTAAGACTGTCACTTACTTGGACCATGTAGGTAACCATAGAATGTTCCTTTCCATTTTGCTTTGCCACAGGCTCAACTATCCAACCACTAGCAAGAAACTGAAATAATTCAACAATGTATATTCTAGTGCTGAAGGATAAATCTGATATCTCAAAGTGAATGATTTGATTCATCTAGTTTTAATATAATAAGATAATGAGAAAAGCAGATCTAATACGGGATCTTATGTTGAAGTGGAGAGCACAGCGTTTCAGCCCTATCACAAAACTTTGTTCAACTACCACATATGTTGGACCAGACCCTGGGAAACATCCTGCACAGACTGTCACCACGTGACACTGGTGACAACTCCATATCAGTTCACCTGAAGAAGGCCTTTTGATAAGGTTGAAACACTGTGATCTCCATTTCACTGTAAGATCCAGTATTAAATTGAATTTTCTCATTAGCTATAGCTCTGATACATCTGATATCTATCTTTTATTTATGTTTTTTCTTGGATGACATGTAATCTTGCTCATAATAATAAACACAGAATTTTAGGATAAATGAGCACATTTGTGGAAATTCACGTACATGTACAAGAAAATACCAATAAATCATTTTGTAAAATCTTTATGAAATATATTCATCTTGCATCAAGGCCTTAACAACACCAGCATAAGCCAATAACACCAGCAATAAGTCAATAACACCAGCAATAAGTCAACAGTCCCATTTAAACAAAGCTCTCCATGTACGATATAAAGGCCATAAGCATGCCACTAATATAAGCATATCATAAGTCACTTATGTTTCCAGTCAATCAACTGACCACAGGCAGCATATATGGTGTTCTGCCTATTGGTACACAGAAATGGGGATTGTCCAAGTCTTGCAAGTTTTTGCATTCGAGCGAGATTTTGCAAGATTTACAGGGCAGTTTCATTTTAGTTTATCTTGGAGGAGGATTTATACTGGAGTAGGCCATGTGCCATGAGATCTGTGGTGAGTTAATGGTTATCAGATGAGCAAATGAGATTAGCCAAATTAGGTTGATCAAGCCTGACTGGAAACATGACTCATTAAACATACCAAGTACTCCATAACCTTATTGGCCATGTTCAATGCAAAAACATGGTAAAAATACCCCTTCTGATAAAGCTGGAAAAAAAACTTACTGTCCCCCTGCAGTTTTCATCCTGAGGTTTGCAGCCAGGCCAATTGACGGACAACATGGACAGAATGTACTTATCCTGCTCCTTTCTCTCACCATGAATTAGACAGAAATCACGATATTCTGTGCTGAACATCCAGCTAATTTCATGCTGCAGTCGTACTGTAAATGAAATACAAAATGTACAGACAAGAAATTCTTTCCAGCAGACAACTACATCATTTTCAGAAGTTAACAATTCTCCAAAGAAAAGGATACATTGTATAACTATACATATGTGATATGTAGCTTTTGAAAGTCAAGTAACCTCTATAGAGTTTATGCTAAATTATTCTGAGCTCTAATCAAACATTATCAAACATACAAACCAGAGTTTTTTTTTTTTTTTTTATGAACTATCTGAATGATAACTTACTGTAATAAGAATGTTTTATCTATACAGATGTTGGACAAGTAGACCCTTTAAAAGTTATCATTAACTTTGATGAAACATGTAATACTGCAATCACTATTTAACCCATATTTGATGAAGCATTTTAAAAATATTTATAATTACAAGTGGTCATCCTGTATACACTTACTTATTTTCAAACCATCCTCAAAATCATGAATTATGTCTAGTTTCTGCAAGCAAGTAAGAAATTACAAAAAATAAAAATGCACCCAGAATAAAGTTTCAGTATAGACATTTCCAGACACAGAAAAAAGAATGAAAAATACTTTGAGAAAACACAGGATAACACTACAATGAATACATCTGTTTCAACATGGCTAGATCAAACACTAAATGGTCTAATCAATATTATGATGCAAAAGTAGCATACAAGGACTTGAACATAGAAGGAACTTTACCATAAAAGGTCTAAGAACAAAACTGGGAGTATAGTAAACTGGGAACCTATAGTAGTGACTACACATGCACTTATTGATGGATTTTAAGCTTTGTAAAATGGCTCCTCCTTACCTTGAGAAGCTCATCATATGTGAACCTTGTCCTGGGATTCTTTACTGCATCCCACACGATAGCTGCTGGAAGTTTAATCAATCCTTTACCCAGGTAGCTAGAATAGATGAAAAAATTTTTAAAACATACGTTAGGAAGTAGAATAAAAAGAACTTGTACTTCATTTATCAATTTCTGTTGTGAACCTTTAGGCATAACTTAATAATTTAAAAGGGAAATACCATACCACTGCACAGAGCTCCTCATGCCAAGATTGACATCTTTTCTTAACACAACAACTTCTTTCTCAACACTTTGGAATCTGAAAATAAAAAAATCTTTCATTTGTGACCCACTTCAAAAGCCATTGTTAAAAAGTTCCAAATCAACTTTAATTTCCATGCTGCAGGCCCTATATCAAAATCTTTGTCAGCAAGTGCTTTTTTTCTCACAATCTGTAATTATTATGCTTCATTATGTTAGTCAAAATAACATGTTTGACAAGTGGCAACAAAATTTATATAAAAGTACAACTAGAAAAGCACTCAGAGAGCGCAGACCTCCGCCAAGGCAGGGTTTTTTTATTATTATTGATTATTGATTGATTATTGATCCTGATCACCACCAAAAATCATCTCTTCCTTGGCCCACTTTTGACAGTTCCTGAAAATTTCATCAAAATTGGTCCATAACTTTTTGAGTTATGTTGATGACAAACAAAAAACAAACAAACAAACAAACAAACAAACAGGGGTGAAAACATAACCTCCTTGGCAGAGGTAACTACGTATGTTTAAACCTGGCTTTAAATAAACATATATACTTACATCCATCCTTTTGTTTTCTCTGCCTGAGCTAATTCAGGTTGTTTCACATCTATGTTTGATGCTTGCATAGCCTGGAGGTACAAAAAAGATGATTTAAAGCAAACTGTTTGATGTGTGATACTGAAGTGTGCTGCCTTATATATATATAAGTATTATACTTAGGATAAAAAATCATTTTATTTTTATGATAATGATACTGCAATGATAAAAACAAAGCTATATACAGACTAATATGTTTCAGGAACTTTGCAGTCATGGTTTTAACATCTAACTTTTAAATTTATAGTGAAATGAAAATTATTACAAACACACAAAAATGCAAAAGTATGGGATAACTTTTCATACTAACCACTTGAAATAGCTCAGCTGCTGTCTGGTTTGCAAGAACATGAGCTTTTTTAAGACCGGTTTCATCTAAAATTACAAGAGATATGGCTTGAAGTTGAATATCAATTCCAGATTGAACACAATCTCTTAACCAGACATGTCAAATTCACAGTTTTAGGGATTCCATTACTCTATCATCTTGTAAGCTCTCTCTCTTCTCTTTCTGACATTACAAATCAATGAAACATAACATAAATACTTTGGAAACCTTCACATATTGATGAAACTTTAAAAATAATTACCATTTGTCAATGAGGGTATGATGTATTCCCTTGAATCCAAATCAGAGGTTAAAACATTAGACATTTCCAGTTCTCTCTTTCCCTCTTCACTGTTATCATGGTGACTAGTATGGGGGCTATCATCCTCTGTTCCAATTTTAAATATTTTTGTAGACTCTGATACTTTATCTACATCTTTATCAAACACTTCATCAATACAGTCTTCAGTAGCTGCATGTTTTTGAGTAGAAATCACAGACTTAGCAGATATTTCACTGGTTTGCCTATGTACAGCATCTGCACCAGCAGTGTGGGGGCTGCCTTTAACGACCTCAGAATGTGACCTCATTTTAACCTTTCCTCGCCTTCTTTTCATGCTTCCGCTACTGCTACCAGATGCAGTTCGCTGTCTTTGGTATTGTGCATTATCGCCATTTTCTGAAAGCACTGTTTCTAGGTTTGGGAGAGTGAAAACTTTGTTTGGAATCGGCTGAAGATGTTTCATCTGGAAGAAGTCCCGTAAGCAGCCTAATCTTTTGACCACCTTGGCTGTGGAAGGAGCACTTCCTAACCAATTTGAACTTGGGTGAAAGACAATGGTAAGAAGGGACTTGTCAAGACCTAGAGAATAAAAAAGAAACATTTTAAATTGGCCTTCAACTTATTAACTGTTCTTATAATTTACAGCTAAAGGAGTATGTTTAGACTATATAATAAAGAAAAGTCATACATTACTGCACTTTGAAACAATTTCAAATTGATATTACATGAACTTTACAAAATACAAACCTTCCACTGGTTGAGCAAGATAAAATGTCCACTCTGAGCCCATCACTTCAGACTCTAAAAGCCAGCAGCAGCCATTTTCTTCTTGGAAGTAAAGCCTATGTATAGATACATATTTTTATTTGGTATACACTGAAATTTTTTCTAAAACAATCACAAAACATTCATTTAGATTTTAAAAAAAGTCATTGATGCAGATACCAGTTCTTAATTCAAAATTATTTTTAAAAATATGTAATGGTGAAATTACCTTTGGTAAACTTGCATTGGTAAGGGAAGTCCAACATGGAAGAACTTTGTAAAAAAATTATTGAGCAGCCTAAGTACAAATTTCAGGGCACTTTTCCTATCTACTTCTATCATATCACAAATGACTGGCAAGAAGCTATATTGCACATGGCGTGTGGTATCTGAGGAACTGTGAGAGCCACTATCTGCAGAAACATGGCTGACACTTCTGACTGTAGGATCCCATTCACATAACTTATTCACGTTGGTGAGAATATCTAACAGGGACTGAAAAGGATATCACTGTGTTATAATATTTATATTTAATAAAATATTCATAAATCTTATGACTGGAGTGGTTAAAATTGAAATAAATAGGAAGGAAAAAGATTGTAAACTAATGGATTCAATGTTTCTGATTTTAAATTTGAATTATATTACCATGATATATTAAGAAAATCAAAAACAATCCACAAATATAAAACAAGAACTGATTGAAAAACAAAACAAAAAAACAGCAAAACAAATTCTGATTGATTGTTATGGAGAATTGGCCATAAAAAGTTATAAACACAAGATTTTTTTAGACTGGAAAAAATCATGGCATATTCATACAGAATTTTGATGCATAATTTCCCATCCTCAAGAATAACCCCTTGTATCTCTTCATAACAGTTTTGAATGGGTATTTTGGCCCAAATACATGTATGTTTCTGGCTGTCTTATGGCAAGAGTTCACTAAAATAGGCTATAGCTAATATAAGGTTTCAATATTTATAAATATGAATATTTCTTAATTCATTTGTGTTGCCTAAAAAATTGCCAGAATAATCATCTGAAAATTCAAGTTTCACATGAAAAATTTCAAAAGTTTTTACAATAGCCAATCATATATTCTAAGCCCTAAAAAGAGTGAACTTAAAGACAAAAGTGTGAGGAAAAAATCCAATGGGTCAACCCTTTTTTTTCCATACCAAAACCAAACACATTTTACCTGCTCCTAATAAAAGTGTCCAACTTAAAAAAAATACATGTAATGAATTAAAAACCAATCAATCAAAATTTGTCTTTCACAAGAATGCTTGCATATTTGCCTGAGTATTGGGTAGTTGACAAGAAGGCACCCACGGGTAGGAAAGTAAAGTGGACGTGTAGCTCTGCAAGCAAAAATAGAAAGCAGTCTGAATGCGATAGAAGCTTAAAACCAAACATTTAACCACTGACTTCATTATAACTGTCATTTTATTGGCTTCCTACTTAAAGCAGTGCCTCTAATCTAAACTAGCAAATACAAACAGAAGTGTCTGAAGTAATTTTGAAGCACTTGCATAAAGCCCATCAAATTTAGTAACTATTCCATACAAAAGACAAATTTAATATAACCAGAAATCATAATATGGTTATTACTCACAAATTTACAAATATCTTATTGAATTTGATGATCATTAAAAAGCTTTTATAATGTCTGGTCATTCACAAAAGAAATGGGCTGATTCTCACACAATCCACTCATTTTTAATCAATCTTTTAGAAAATATGAAAAAAAAAAAAATAATAATAAAATCATTTGTTGGGGAGGGGGGGGGGGACAAGAAAACAATTTCTTTGAATTGAGTGAGAAATTCTAATGTAACTCATATCATCTGATTTTTTCAACAAGGCCCAGATTAAGAACTGTGTGTTAAAATTAAGATTTTTTTTAATTCCACAAGGTCATTCTACAGTAGTTTTTCTTCAGTAACATCTTTCATGCTTCAGAAAATATCTTCTTATGACTTTTTCTCTTGAGGGAGAATTTTGAATTGTTTGGCAGAATATATTATGTATAACTGGGTGTTAATTTTCACTTTATTTTCATGGCGGACATCATTACCAGTGTCTGATCAGATGTTAACAACAACTGAAGTTTCTGACATGAACCTATTAAAGGATAATTGCTCTTGATTACATTAACCTAGACATAAAGTCTCCGTATGCATCTCATCATCTCAAATAAGTATTTTTTCAAACTATGAGGGCCCTGCCAAAATAGCTTTAAGACAATCTTTTATTCAGCAGGGACATGAGAAGCACTACAAACCAGTTTTTAAATATTGTAATTCACATGATTATATATGCTGACACCCAAAATTAACAAGTTTATAACATACTTGGTAATTTTCAAGTTTCATGGGTCTTAAATGTAATGAAAGGCTGCTCTATTCTTTGCATAAAATGCCAGTGTTTTGGAACTTCAGTACTTTAGGTTATTGTCACCCAGACTCCGGTCTTACCAAAGGATACATTAGAGAATAGAACATTAAATATTTTTTCAAGACTTCTGCCAATTTTGTTAAGGACTGGAATTCAAGATAAGTTGCAAATGTTTATAAATGATAATGCTTTTTTGACTGGGCAAAAATTGGACAATCATGTAAGGAAGAGAAATAGTTATGGATAAACAATAATCTTGGTTGTCAATGGATGTAAGTTATATATTTCTGATTTAAAAATGATGCTCACCTCACCAGGCATCTAAAATTCTTATTAAAAAAGCAGAAATCATTTCAAATTCAATTTTTGAAGAGGAGATGCATAAAGCGTAGCAATGAAATCCATACTTACATTTTTATACTCACAAATTACTGAACATATTTGGCCACAATCAATTATATAAATTGGAAAATTAAACTGCTGGTTTGATTTTACCTTTGGGTACTTCTTAACCAAGCCACAGCAACCAAAGACATTTGTATGAAGTTCGGGAAAAGTTCTTCTCCATATTCTTGTTCCTAAGATGTAATCCCAAAGCGTCCATTTGTTTGATGGGCACAATGGAAAAATCTGAAAACATGAGAAAAACAGATTAATTTTCCATTTCAATTTAGAACTGTTGGTCATAACTAAAACTATGGCACAAAGAATCAGAACTGAACTCCCAGCAATACTGCCAAGTTAAAGTCCAAAATTTCTAATATTATAATTCATACTGTCAAAATTTACTGACAATATGCTTTATGGCTTTTTTATGTGGGAAACTATATCAAAATACTTCTGAATTAGTAAACACAAGAAACACTTATACAATTTACCTCAATTATGTGTACCAAAAAAAAAAAAAAAAAAAAAAAAGACTTTTTTTTAATAAGTATTTATCTCAGTGTGACCCACCTTATTCTGATTCAAGATCTTGAGGATTTTGACTCCATCTACTGCCTATAATAATAATAATCATCATCATCATGAAAATAAACTAGAAATCACTCCAGTCTCCTGAGAGTGCAGACCTCTACCAAGGCAGCCCAATTCCCCCATATTAACAATATCTGACAATGGTTCTTATTAAATTCTTTCATCTAGATTCTGATAAATAGAAATATTGAACCATTTGTTATATAATCTTCTATGGCCTGGATCGCACTTTTCATATTTAAAACTGTACTAGTAAATGGGAATTTTCAGTACTATTAAATTTCAGATTTAAGGTTACTTAAAGGGTTTGCTTCATGCTGTCAGAATGGCCTGAACGGAACATATTCTTCAGAAAACATGCCCAACTAACGATATCTTAATCCAAATACACAAATTAAAAGCTCATTTTGTAAATTTTTGGCTTTAAAAAACGTCCTATTTGCTCGGCCTGGGAGATAATGAGCTACGTGGTCACGTGGTCCAATGACGACAATCGAGCCACTGGAGAACAGAGCGTGCTTAGCTGTCAAACTGAGCTGCATTGTCTACCTGTAAGATGACTTCTCTGGCTTCTGATAAAACTTTATACTCAATCAAATCTCTTACCCGAGGGGTCTAAATCCTCGTGAAGCTGTGTAAAACCATTTCCCGTCTAGTCATTTCTTTAACAAGCATTTCATTATGGTTATCCCAAGTTGTATAAAACACTGCATTTGAATGAGTTAAGGGAAATGTTGATTATTGCATATGAGGTCCATGTTATTTGTGAAATTCAATTTATTTATTAAACCATCTGACACTCCATCTTGCATACTTTTATTAAACTGAGGTAAACAATGCCCGTTACCTTTACAAGTCCTATCCTAATCATCCATCTAACTGGAACTTCCTTTACCTCTTAATTAGAGGGTTAAATGGCATTCAATTTGTCTTGCTTGTATCGAACGCACTCTCTATCTAAGCTTTACTCCAGTTATCTCAGGTAAAAATCTACCTGTGCGTTAGTTACAAAGAGCAGCTCCCGTAGACCTGGGGGTACTAGATAAAATCTGAACACCAGGTTTATCGAGGAGCTAGAGAAAGAAAGGAAGAATTTTTCCTGCACAACTTCATAGGAATTTTAACACGGACTTGATCCAGCTTAGACCTCCAAACTAACAGGGTGACATGGGCAATATTCACAAACAAATCATAAAACTATATTTCAGTTAACCGCCTTTAAAATAAATATACCGTTCTGGGTAAATTAGAATAGTTATTAAATCGCGAGAATATTTTTGATTTAAATGATGATTTTATTATTAATGGACATTAAGCTACAATATGAGGTACATTTGCTGTGATTACGCTGTCCTTCATGTTTTGCGTAAGTCTACATTTTGCTGTATGTGCTTGTAATTTTTTAAAATATGTGCGTACAATTTTTGCAGGTCTGGTTACCCCATTATGTGATGAGAGTATAAATTTGGCAATTAGTTCCTTAGCTTATTTAAATAGAATTGCAGTGTAAAATTTTCAACAAGATGTTGGCGAAATAGCCCATTACTCTTTGTAGGTATTTCTCCCGTCAAAGTTTGTCTAAAATTATCTTTCAATCTTTACTCTTTCAAAGACAGTATAAAGTTACCTGACATATTTTCGTGTAAACTTAATGACAAGCCAAGTGTCTTCAGTTCATTCCGTACTCAATTTTACCCAAGCAATTTTTTTTTTCTTGAGTAGATCTTTATAGCATGGTGTTATAAGAGTACAAATTTGCAAAAAAAATTTGCGTACTGACGCAGAATTTGCGTTTCAAGTTATAAAATGATCAATCTTTTAAATTATTTAATATTTCAGATGAAATAAAATTCAGAAACAAATCCTCAATGCATAAACGAATTAGGATAACAAACCATTTTATCACAGCAGTTCCCATTTTTTCTTTAATATAACGCTCTTTTACCCGTTTTTCCTCAACACGTTTTCTTCCACGGAAGCTTCAAGATACCCTGAGAGCAATTTCTTTTATTAATGTTCGTGACCGTGTTTGGACTTAATTGTTTAAGTATTGATATTTAACGTCATTTACAAATACCAATAAAATAACCCCATGAAATAAATGAGATATATTGAAAAATATGAAAGCCCACCAAGACGAGTTTCATACCTGTTATTGTCTGGCTTGGGAATTGCAGCGGTGCATTATTAACAGGTTTTATTGTTAACGAGCTCTTGGTCAACTACAATGAATTTAAAAATGCATCAGCAATTAGTAAGCTTGCCAACTGATGACAGTATCTAAAAGACTATCAGGTTTTGATATGATCTAAAACACCTGAGGTGACCGAGGATCGCAACTATTGTCACCGAAGTTAGTAAGTTAGTCACGGAAGACCGTCACAGATAAAGAAAGATAGTCAAGGAGTGCTGATATTTTCGTGAATCCCACGGCAACACACTGAGGCATAAAGAAAATTGCTCAACTCCGTTCAACACAACTTTCCAAAATTATTCTGTCTGTTTGCACCATGCAGTTCAGTTGAGTCTCATAGACCTTTATCCACAGTACCGCGTGACCCAGATCTGTTGCTTCATTTATGCATATTGAGGTGAGGTTTACTAAAACGCTTTTTTACTACTAAGAGATTGTTTTTATAATTTTTAAATGGCGGGGATCGATTAAAACATACCTCTAGTGTATAGATTGAGTGCTGAATCTTCAAAATTCGAGAAATGGATTTTTATATGACCATTATCCTTTAAACCAATGATAATAACAATTAACGTTCTTTATGAATATAAAATTAAATGGTTATCTCAAACCATGAATTTCAATTGCCTTCAAGTTAAATGCATAAACTTTGGCTTATTGGTGTGACAGCCCGCGAGAACTCGGTGCTTCAGGTCAAAATGAAATGCACAATTAACTGGCAATTCACTCGTCGTTAGTCAAGAACTATGCCGTTTAGTCCAACAGAGACTTGGTATCATGCTTAAACAAAACTATATCTGATTTAACCCCAACTTTCTGGCACGGACACAGTCATTCAATGTTAACTACACAACTCTAAGCGAAATAAATCTTATCATACCGCTAAATCGTGTCTTCCTAAAATTCCAAGTCCCAGGTCCATTTTTCAGACAGCTATATATTATCGTGTGACCAAGCTCTAGTTAATTTGGGTATTCGCCACTAAGTCATTAACAAGTGAAACTTAAATTTTATATACGTTTCATATGCTCACTGCAACCCCCACTGACGTGATGCAAACCATTTACTTACGTACGGTCACGCTTTAATTTTTTGCCATATTTAAGTTTCCGTCCTTTTTTCGAAAAGAGCTGCAAGAAGATACTGGGTTTTGCACCCGAAGCAGGGATAGCAAGGTCGTAGACGTAACGACCAAAGCAAAATGATAATGATAACTACTGCTGCAGTGAAAATTGTCTAGATGTCAGAACTAAATCTGAAGTGTTTCAATATGCCCCACGCTCCATGCATGCCAACTTCAAATGAATTTGTCCTTCGTTTGCCCCTGAAGTAGCATCTTTCTTTTCATTAATTGCAAGTGATTGTACTGGATATCTTTGGAACAGTTTACCACAAACCACAAAAAACAGCCCAACCTCAGCTTCACTATGCATTTATTTACACCACTCTTTCCTTATAATACATTTTTCATTTAGTGACACAAACAAGCAAAATAATAACTTGCCCACTAAATGATATATTTTTTACATATTAAAAACAGCTATTTATCACTGTATACGATAATGTAGTAGTGTTTCACAAATGAAAACTGCATGGCAAAGTGGCCAGGTTTAAAAAAATCAACCATCCTAATAATTGTTCTCTTTTTTT